AGAGAGAGAGAGAGAGAGAGAGAGAGAGAGAGAGAGAGAGAGAGAGAGAGAGAGAGAGAGAGAGAGAGAGAGAGAGAGAGAGAGAGAGAGAGAGAGAGAGAGAGAGAGAGAGACGGATACTGCAACCGTCCTAAGTACATGCCAGTTGCCAAGCATCTGAATTTTGATCACGTGACCCTGGGCCACGCTGCAGTGATCATAAGTGGAGAAAAACGGTCATAAGTCCCTTTTTCATTCTTTTTTTAATAAGATTTTATTAATTTTTCTTTACATACAATAATAATTTTTCAACCAACGTGCTGTCTGAGTTTGACCTCACTAATACATATTTAATTCCTAATCCTTTATTCTTTCCTCTAACCATTGGTAAATTAAGTCCCATGTTTGATAATATTCTGTTTCTTCTTTTTCTTTCAGTCTCATAGTTAGTCTGTCCATCTCTGCGCATTCCAATATTTTTTTTAATTATTTCTTCCTCTGGTGGTATTCCTTCATTTTTCCAACCTTGCGCAAATATTATTCTTGCCGCTGTCATGACTTGTAAAATCAAATATAGGCTTTGTTTGTTAATCTTTTCTGGCCTTATACCTAGTAAAAAAAAAAGTTCAGGTTTAAAGTCTACACATTCTCCCAACATCTTTTCTAACCAAGTATGTCTCTTTTCCCAATAATTCTTTGCTTTGTCACATGTCCACCAAACATGAGAATACGCACCTGACTTATGTTTACATTTCCAACGTCTATCTGACATATTTTTAAACATCCTTGCTAATCTTGCTGGTGGCAAGTGCCGTCTATAAAACATTGTATATACATTTTCTTTATAAGAAGTTGACATTGTCAATTTATAATTTCTTTCCCACTTTTTTTCATTCTTGTCGTAACTTCGGACAGTCCCTAAATGAGCTGTTGTAAGTTGAGGACTCTCCGAAGATGATTCCACCTGCTGGGACGGACGGTCAGAGGTGGCCGATGGTGTCATTTCTTAACATGCGATGCCCTTCCTCTTTTCAGATTGCCCTGGCTAGTTTCTACGAAGATGGTGGCGACGAAGACATCATGACGCTCCCCCAGCCCACCTCCAGTTCCGTGACGAGAGGCACCGCAGCCAGGTGACCCGTCAGCTTTCTGCCTTTGTGAAAAATTGGGGTTAGGTCCAAGGTGCCAGGGTCTCCCTTCTCTGTTGGAAAAAACTTTGGGTGTGGGCCTTGGAGAGCAGAGCAGGGATCCCTAGAATTCAAAGAAATAGAAATTCCCAATCCCAGGGCATTCTGGGAAAAGGATGCTCGGAGAGCGAAGGTTAATTTGGATCTGTAACGCAATTGGCAGTTCCATTTTTCGTTAGTATTGTTTTTTTATTAGTTTATAGCAGTGATGGCGAACCTTTTAGAGACCGAGTGCCCAAACTGCAACCCAAAACCCACTTATGCATCGTCGGGTGCCAGGTGGGTGTGGCCCATTGGGTGGGCGTGGCTGCGGTGGTAATTGCAGACTAGGTGGGACTAAAAAGTTCAATCAATCAATTCCAACTTTGCAAGATTTTTTTTCCCGTGAGAAGTTGAAATTGATTGATTGAACCTTTTTTTTTGTACACAGCGGCGGAGGCCTAAAGCGAAAAGGTTTTATAAAACCCAGCTGAAGGCCTAGGACTGGGGCGACGGCACACATACCCACAGAGGGCTCTGCATGCCGCCTCTGGCACCCCTGCCATAGGTTTGCCACCACTGGTTTATAGTATACGATACAAAGAAAATACAAAAGTAAATAGCAGGAGAGCTAGGGAAGGGGAAAGGGAATATTAAAAAGTGGGAGAAAGCAAGGGGAAAAAAGAAAAAAAAAGATCATTGACTTCCTACTTTCTTTGCTGCAGTAAAATAGAATATCAACATCAAACCTCAACTTTTTACTTTTACAAAAGAATATAAACTAGTCATTTCGATAACCACAAATCTGTATCATCAGGAAAGCCCAAAATCAAAATTTCCTTTGTTTCCCACCTCAAGCACAAAGTCCACGTAGCAATAAAAGTAGTCGCATTGTTTTCTTTAATCCGTACAGTCAATTTAGCCGTCTCGGCTAGCTCCATCAGTTTTTTGCAACCCTTCCTCCATTGAGGGAATTGATGTGGTCTTCCATTTCTGAGCGTAGAGTAATCTTGCTGCTGTCAATGTCAACGCGGCAAATACTGTATATTCTTGCTTTGACAATATGCAGAACTGTCTGGTATTTTTATAGTTAAATCAGGCAACAGTGAAAGGGGAGGAGAATAAGGAAAGCCCGGGAAAAAGGAACCGGAAGTGAATCACATCTTCCAAGTTAATTGGATATATATATAACATCAAAGTTCCGTATTTTTTTTTTCCAGGTCTTGGCCCATTAGCCCCAAAAGACCCCCCCCCCAAAAAAAACTGGTTTTCTTTCTATAGTCACTTTTAAGAATTTTCTGTATTAACATAACGAATCTTGCTCCAGGCGGTTCCATTTTTCACGTGACGCCCTCCCAAACCTTTTCGGTTGCTGTTGCAAGTCCACTTCCTGGGTTAACAACCACACTTTAGTTGTTGTGCTGGGACCTTTTGCCTTTTCATCCTGGTCAGGCCATTACAAGGCCTTGGTAAGGCCACACTTGGAAATACTGCATCCACTTTTGGTCACCACGATGTAAAAAAGATGTTGAGACTCTAGTCTACAAAGAGTGCAGAGAAGAGCAACAAAGATGATTAGGGGACTGGAGGCTAAAACATACAAGGAACGGTTGCTGGAATTGGGTATGTCTAGTCTAATGAAGAGAAGGACGAGGAGGGACATTGTAGCTGTCTTTCAATATCTGAGGGGCTGCCCCAAAGAAGAGGCAGTCAAGCTATTCTCCAAAGCACCTCCAAAGGCAGGACAAGAAGCAACAGATAGAAACTAATCAAGGAGAAAAGCAACCTAGAACTAAGGAGAAACTTCCTGACTGTTAGAACAATTAACCAGTGGAACAACCTGCCTCCAGAAGCGGTGAATGCTCCAACACTGGAAGTCTTTAAGAAGAGACTGGACAGCCATTTGTCCGAAATGGTATAGGGTTTCCTGTCTGAGCAGGGGGTTGGATTAGATGACCTCCAAGGTCCCTTCCAACTTTATTATTATATAGGTTTAGTAAATTCTTCTTCTTCTTCTTCTTCTTCTTCTTCTTCTTCTTCTTCTTCTTCTTCTTCTTCTTCTTCTTCTTCTTCTTCTTCTTCTTCTTCTTCTTCTTCTTCTTCTTCTTCTTCTTCTTCTTCTTCTTCTTCTTCTTCTTCTCCTTCTCCTTCTCCTTCTCCTTCTCCTTCTCCTTCTCCTTCTCCTTCTCCTCCTCCTCCTCCTCCTCCTCCTCCTCCTCCTCCTCCTCCTCCTCCTTCTCCTTCTCCTTCTTATCACACACCGGAGGAGGCAGCCAACTCATTTGATGTTTCTTTTTTTTTTCTCCAGCGACCACAGGGTGACCTCCTTCCGTGATCTCGTCCATGCTCAGGAAGAGGAGGAGGAGGAGGAAGAAGGACAAAGGTTGGTGACTGGTCAGATGGGAAGGAGGAATTGGGAAAGTCTGTGGGTTGTAAGTCCAGCGCTCCGCGTAAAAGCGATCCATGCTGACTGGATAAGGACAGTCAGGATGTAGTCCAGGGGCCGTAACATGGCTGTCGGCGGCCACCGTATGCTTGCTTGTATGCTTGGCTATCATGCGGTGACAGTCTGCCGTGAACTCTGGAGAGGAGCGGGAGAAATGCTTGAGGGAAAGTGGAAGTAACGGCTGTGTCTCCCAGAGATGCTGCCTCAAGGTCACCCAGCTGGGAGAAGAAGGCAGCTGCATGTTGTTGTTAGTTGCGAAGTCGTGTCCGACCCATCGTGACCCCATGGACCACGTTCCTCCAGGCCTTCCTGTCCTCTACCATCTTCTGGAGTCCATTGAAGCTCACACCTCCTGCTTCAGTGACTCCATCCAGCCACCTCCTTCTCTGTCGTCCCCTTCTTCTCTTGCCCTCCATCTTTCCCAGCATCAGGCTCTTCTCCAGTGAGTCCTTCCTTCTCATTAGGTGGCCAAAGTACTTGAGTTTCCACTTCAGGATCTGGCCTTCTAAAGAGCAGTCAGGGTTGATCTCCTCTAGGATTGACCGGTTGGATCACCTTGCAGTCCAGGGGACTCGCAGGAGTCTTCTCCAGCACCAGAGTTCAAAGGCCTCCATTCTTTGGCGCTCCATCCCCAGCCTCTCACTGATGACTCATCACAAGACACTCACTTGCAAAAGAGGATCACATGACTCCATGATATTGCAACTGTCATAAGTACATGCCAGTTGCCAAGCATCTGAGTTTTGATCACGTGATCACAGGCAAGCCGAAACATACAAGGAATTGCTGGAATTGGGTATGTCCAGTTTAATGAAGAGAAGGATGAGGGGGGACAGGATAGCAGCGTTCCAGTATCTCAGGGGCTGCCACAAAGAAGAGTGTGTGTGTATGTGTGTGTGTATGTGTGTGTCTACCCGTTCTCCAAAGCGCCTGAAGGCAGGACAAGACGCAATGGAGGGAAACTAACCAAGGAGAGAAGCAACCTAGAACTAAGGAGAAACTTCCTCACAGTGAGAACAACCTGCCTCCAGAAGCGGTGAATGCTCCAACACTGGAAGTTTTGAAGAAGAGACTGGACAGCCACTTGTCTGAAATGGTATAGGGTTTCCTGCCTGAGCAGGTGGTTGGACTAGATGACCTCCAAGGTCCCTTCCAACTCTTGTTTTTGTTGTTATTATTAAGTAAGTGTGGAAAGCTCTCATAGCTGCCTTTTCCCAGTGGTGTTGTAACTTCGAACAGTCCCTAAGTGAACCATTGTAAGTTGAGGACTATCTTTAAATTTGCTTCCTTTCCAACTTTCTCCTAGGTTTGTTTGCTTGTTCGTTTGTTGATTTGATTTTTGCAGCCGCAAACGATGCAGACGACTATCCAAATTTTAAAAAAACATTTTTAAACAGCCAAGAAGCCTTAATGCAGCTGCTGCATCAGCGGTTCGGTTTGCAATGGCAGACAATCACCCCACGCTTCCCAAGTCGAGCGAGGACTTTTCTCCTCCGGGGGATCCTCAAGTCTCTTTCACTTTGGTTTAGGTTTTATGCTGGTGGGTCCGAACGGAGCGGGCAGCAGATTGTTGGCCCCCCAAGGAAGAAGAGTTCGAACGAGCTGGTGGAGGACCTGTTCCGGGGGGCCAAAGAACACGGGGCGGTGGCTGTCGACAGGACAGCTAAGAGCCCCGGGGAAGGCAGCAGGCCAAAGGTGAGCCAGAGAGCCTTGGTCAAGCTCTGCGTGCATGCGTGGGTGGGTGGGTGGGCTGATCTGCTTTCAAGTGGCCTTAAAGATTCCCTCAATCAAACGTGGCACAGAGGGAGGGGATGTTTGGGGTCCGGGTGCTCTCTGAGCTGGGTGGCTTTCTTGCAGACGTTTCATGATCCAACTAGGTAACATCATCAGTGCTAGAAGGGACTGGGGGGTGTAGAGAGGAGGGAGTAGTAGTAGTAGTAGTGTGGGGGTCCTGGGTGGCTTTCTTGCAGATGTTTCTTGACCCAGCTAGGTCACATCATCAGTTAGATGATACTAGAAGGGGGGGGAGGAGGAGGAGGAGGAGGAGGAAGAAGAAGAAGAAGAAGGAAGAAGAAGAAGAGGAAGAAGAAGAAGAAGAAGAAGAAGAAGAAGAAGAAGAAGAAGAAGAAGAAGAAGAAGAAGAAGAAGAAGAAGAAGAAGAAGAAGAAGAAGAAGAAGAACTACTACTACTACTACTACTACTACTACTACTACTACTACTACTACTACTGTGGGATTCTTGGTGCTCTCTGAGCTGGGTGGCTTTCTTGCAGATGTTTCTTGACCCAGCTAGGTCACATCATCAGTTAGATGATGCTAGAAGGGGGAGGAGGAGGAGGAGGAGGAGGAGAACTGTGGGGTTCTTGGTGCTCTCTGAGCTTGGTGGCTTTCTTGCAGATGTTTCATGACCCAGTTAGGTCACATCATCAGTTAGATCAGACATGTCAAAATCGCGACGTCACGTGATGTCGCGCAACGTATCAGAGCTTTTTCGCCGTTGCTGGCAATGGGGTGGGCGCAGCTCTGGTATGATGAAACCGGCCCACGGGCCGGCAGTTTAACACCCCTGAGTTAGATGATGCTAGAAGGGGGGGGAGGAGGAGAAGGAGGAGAACTGTGGGGTCCTGGGTGCTCTCTGAGCTTGGTGGCTTTCTTGCAGATGTTTCATAACCCAACTAGGGAACATCATCAGTGCTAGAAGGGAGGAGGAGGAGGAGAACGGTGGGGTCCTTGGTGCTCTCTGAGCTTGGTGGTTTTCTGGCAGACATTTCATTGCCCAATGAAGTAATGTCATCAGTGCTAGAAGGGAAGGGGGGGTTCTCTATATACGGTGGTAGGGCTGTGGTTCCCCCCCCCCCCCGGATAATTCCTTGATTCGGTTATTGTTTTCTGCTTGTTTGTTCGTCTGGTGTTAATGCACGCTTGTCTGCATTTCTCTTTCTGTGGAAGCCTTGATGTTCTCTGAGCTTGGTTGTTTCCTGGCAGACATTCTGTGACCCAGCTAGGTAACGCCATCCGTGCTAGAAGGGAGTGGGGTTTGCAGAATGGAGGAGAAAGAGAAGGGAAGGAGGGAAGAGGAGGAAGGCTGTGGTATGCTTGGTGTTCTCTGAGCTGGGTCGTTTTCTTGGAAACGTTTTATTACCCAATTAGGAAACATCATCAGTGCTAGAACGGGGTGGGTTTGTGGAGGAGGAGGAGAAGAGAGGAGGAGGAGGGGGAGGTCTGTGGGAGTCCTTGGTGCTCTCTGAGCTTGGTGGCTTTCTTGCAGACGTTTCAGCACCCAAATAGGTAACATCATCAGTGCTAGAAGGGAGTGGGGGTTGAAGATTGGAGGAGGAGGAGGAGGAGGAGGAAAGGAGGAGGAGGACCATGGTGTTTTGAACTTGGTTGTTTTCTTGCCCATTTCATACCCAACAAGTGGACTTCAGCTCCCAGAATTCCCTAGCCGGAATTGGCTATCTGGGGAATTCTGGGAGTTGAAATCTATAAAAATCTTTAAAAAGTCGCCAAGTTTGAAGACCCCTGAGTTAGAGGAATAGGAAGCGTTGGTGACTTTGTATTTCATCTACAATCTGTCTCCTGTGAAGGTTGTTAGGATAAAAAAAACAAAACAAATCAAGGTACTTCTAGGAAAAGTGTACCAAATCCCTGGTATTTTGGAATTCATGTTACTTAATCCTTAATTTGGAGGCCGGGAGATCTGAAAGAACAGTGCTTAGCCCAGGGGTAGGCAACCTTGGCTCTTTATTTATTTATTTATTTATTTATTTTATTAAATTTATATCCCGCCCTTCTCCTTGCGGACTCAGGGCGGCTAACAATCGGGTAAAAATACACAAATAACATTTTTGACTCATGGACTTCAACTCCCAGAATTCCTGAGCCAGCACGGCTCAGCTTGGAAATCTCTCCCTTTCCCCTCAGCGTGGCTGGCTGAGGAATTCTGGGAGTTGAAGTCCACCAGTCATAAAAGAGCCAAGGTTGCCTACCTCTGCCCAAATGCCTGAATTTTGATCACGTGACCGTGAGGAAAAAATATTTAAATATTTAAAACAGGGGTAGGCAACCTTGGCTCTTTTATGACTTGTGGACTTCAACTCCCAGAATTCCTCAGCCAGCGTGGGGGAACTATGGCCCCCTCATGACTCGCGGACTTCAACTCCCAGAATTCCTGAGCCAGCATGGCTCAGCTTGGAAACCTCTCCCTTTCCCCTCAGCATGGCTGGCTCAGGAATTCTGGGAGTTGAAGTCCACCAGTCATAAAAGAGCCAAGGTTGCCTACCCCTGCGTTTAGCCCTATGTTAAAAACAAAACAAAACCCTTTCTGATGGATGGAGGAACTTTAAATGTAGGCTGGTAATAGCCTTCGTGCAGAAGAACTGGGCAAGCCCCCCATCTTTTTTTCTTCTTTTTTTCTCCCTTGCAGCCCTTCGCAGGAGGAGGGTACCGCTTGGGAGCTGCCCCCGAGGAAGAGTCCGCTTATGTGGCGGGAGAAATGAGGCCAAACGCTGCCCAGGATGTGAGTATTTCAGGGTTCGGACTGGGTCCGGGGCAGCCGCGCGTTAGAGGTCTGAGGGTCCCAAACTTTATCAAATCAAATCTTTATCAGGGTCCAAGACCAACAGAGTTCCCAAACTTAGAATTTTGTAGAATTTTTGATTCCTTCAAGATAAGGTGGGGTTAGGAAGCGGTCAGTCACTGTTCAGGCCTGGGGAAATGTTTTGGATTTTGGAAAATTAGGAAAGCCTGGATCGGTACAAGAAGGCTGCAGATGTTCAGCTGGACCTTCCTTCCTTCCTTCCTTCCTTCCTTCCTTCCTTCCTTCCTTCCTTCCTTCCTTCCTTCCTTCCTTCCTTCCTTCCTTCCTTCCAATTTTTTATTCCTTCCTTTTCATTTTTCCTTCTTTCATTCCCTCGTTCCTTCCTTCCTTCCCCTTCCCATTTTCCTTCCTTCCTTCCTTCCTTCCTTCCTTCCTTCCT